AACCCTGTCTTGAAAAACGGAAAAAAAAAAAAAATAATTCTTTTAGCAAGAAAATGATCCTTAAACTAAATCGTAACCACATTTTCAATGTTTTTAAATAAAAAAAAAAAAGAAGAAGAAGAAAATAAAGAAAGAGAAAGAAAGAAAGAAAGAAAGAAAGAAAGAAAGAAAGAAAGAAAGAAAGAAAGAAAGAAAGAAAGGAGGAAGGAAGGAAGGGAGGAAAGAAGGAAGGAAGGAAAGAAGCAAAGAAAGAAGGAAAAAATTATAGAGTACCAAGGAAATAGTTCAGAAATATAGTACCTCATATGAACAAGACCCTAGTTTCAATCCCTAGCACCCAAAAAATCTAAATAAATAAAACAAAAAAAGAATATGGCCTGCAAACTGGGACTGTCCAGGCCTGCAATCCTAGTGATTAGGAGATTGAAGTAGGATGACCTCAGTTTCTAGTCTTTCTATAGCATGAGTTCAATGGCAGCCTGAGTACCACTCATCTTGGTTCTAAAAACATACATTCTAGCTCCCCTACATTCTCCTCCTCCAGGCAGAAAAAATAAATAAAAATAAGGTTAGGGTACAGGGCTTCCCTAGCAAAATGTAATGCCCCAGTACTTTAAAAACTGTATATATTTTACAATATAATAACTCTCAATAGTTCATAGCTACTATGCATACAGGGCATGGGAGCACATACAGGCCTCTAATCCTAGCACACAGAAGCATACTAAGTTCAAAGCCAGCCTGGGCTACAGACTGAGACTGTGACTCAAAATAACAATATCAATAAGAAAAAAATTTTAAAGTGCTTATACAGTTAAACATATTACCTATATACGACCCATAACATATGTGAAGACTGCATAGAAACCAGAATGAAAGAAGTAAATAAACCCAACTATGACTCTCCTAATTTTTTCTCAATCTAAGCATTTAGTGACAAGAAACAGTTCAGTGATACTAGCATGTCAATACTATTTCCTCACTCTAGTGCCATGTGGAAAGTTCCTGACTTACAATGGCTTCAAGTACAACTTTTCAACCTCATGACGGTACAAAAGCTGGCTATCACTCCTACTACTGTGACTAGAGGGATGCTCTCAGAGCCAAGGAGGCAGGGCATGGGGTGGGGTCAGGATCTCAGAGCCAAGGAAGCAGGGCGTGGGGTGGGTTTAGTCTCCAGAGTCTGAGCCATGCAGTCAGAATCTTGTTCTCTGTTTAACTTTCCTTCCTGACAGCCATTCAGGCAAGCAGTGAACATTCAGTGTAAATAATCAAATTTTGAGGGTTAATCTCCTCACAGACCAGGGACATGAGATATGCCCTCCACCCCTTGTGATGCTGGCAGGAGCCCCAGCTTCCAGGTAGCCCCATGATCTTGAGATGAAAGGACCAATACTCTCGAGCAGACTGTGTTGCTAGGCAATGGCAATGATGCTCAGCGGCTAGGTGTATTTGAAGGCCTATTTTCCCTTACAGTAGCTGCCACTTAACAATGAACACGTTCAGCACAGAGTCTTGGCAATATACAAAACAGAGGAAACTGACCTCTGGGTTGTAATACATTCTGAAGACAAAGAGAATAATTAAAATAGCATGGTGGATTAAGCCATTCTTTAAGAAGTCCTTGGTCGAATTGGATTTTTAGTATCTCATAAGAACAATTAAGCATCCCTGCCAAGCAAGCAAAGCAAATGCTAAGTGAGTCACTTGATGAAGCCAAGGGAAGACTCTCACAACAGCAGAGATGATCTCAGGCACTGTACCAAATCCTTCAGGGTCTGGATCCCACCTTCAAGCCTATTAGACCAGGTCTGCAGTGGTGTAGACCAAGCCAGCCTCCAGAATTCTTGAAAAGCTCCTGGTGATTCTAATGTGCAAGGGAAGTTGGCCACTGCCCAAACTCTCACTTTTCCTATCCCTTGATCCTACTCTAAATGATGGATGGCAATAAAAAGTATGATCAACCGCAAAGTTAAAAGGCCACTAAGGGTGCCAGCAATCCAATCTCCTTCCAGGTACCTAGAGATTCCTCTGGCCACCCCAGGAGTACATGACACTGTATCTGTCCTTCCCATGAGATTCTAAACTAAAGAGATCCAATTACCTACCACTTTAAATCACTTGGTGAGAGGGAGAACTTCCAACAATTATCAGTAAACAGGGTCACCCTCCTCTACGGTCCTCCAGTGCCCCCTTTCATCCTTCTACTCCTAGCCCTGAGCCAGGTCACCTCAGGCACCCTCCCAGTTTTTACTGAATGACTGGACAAATTAAGTACCCACCTGGGAGTGGTTACTGATTCACTGTACTGCAGCTGTCTCAAGACCCATGAAAAACAATGGTATTTAATAGCAGCCTTTCGACACGGCGGGTTCTCTCATTTTCACAGGATGAATAAAGGGCATAAAAATGAAAACTAAGAAATGGGGGGGTGAGGATGCAGCTTCTCTGCAGAGTGCCTGCCTAGGGTGCAATCCCATACACCAAAATCAAACTTAGGAACTAACCAATAAAAGAAGAAGAAGAAATTGAAACATAATATGAATTACTCTATAGCGTTCTCCTTTTGTTTGCTTCCTTAGTTTTGGTTTTTTTTTTGTTTTTTTGTTTTGTTTTGTTTTGTTTGAGACAAGGTCTCCTATATCCCAAGGTGGCCTCTAACTCAGCATGTACCTGAGGACGACCCTGAACTCCTCATTTCCCCACACCCTCTTAGGGATTACAGTGGTACACAACAATGCCCACCCACTCTCCATCATTTTAAATAAAGCAGATTAAACTCAAAAGCAAGGTTATATTGGAACTGACAAAATTCAAGAGCTTAAAACACAAACTATCTTCCATGTTTAGAGACGAATAGAAGCAATTATTGTAGACAAGACTTATGAATTCCAAAATGAGAATGCTACCTACAACTCAGCCTCCCCCCCCCCCTTTTCTTTTATTCTCGATGACACTAAC